AGATGCACCGGGGACCTGATTATAGCACTTAAAACCTGGAAAAGTCCGATTTTCATTATATGTTACCTTTAAGGCATACTGTAGTGAGGGGACTGTTAATAAGCACAAGGGAGTTATGTGAAGGCCATCCATTAAAGAATGTGTAAAAGTCCGATTGCAGTGGCGGGTACAGCTATTTGATGATGCATAAATCATTCCGGTGATCAGGGGCAGGTGAGGAACATAATTTTATTACAATCCACTGTCTGCCAGCCATTCAGAAGTTGGCCTTCATCATTGATCTGAGACCCACATTCCGTTTCCTTCTTATAACGGCTATAGTACTCATATAATAGCGACATTGCCAAATCTATTCAGTGGATTCTGATAATCTTGGCAAGGTATTATTCACATATTATCATGTGTGTGCGAATGATGCAAAACATAAGCAGCTTTAAAATATTTATTTTAATTAGTTTATAAATATATTAATATTTCTTTATTATAATTATATTAATAAACAAACAAACAAATAAGGTGGATAAATGTACAGTCACCGTAATTTTAATATACTTACTAATATAACTATACTATTAGGCAAATATTTGAGACCCTAAACCTACTAAACTACAACAATTATTAAAACCATAAAACAAAATCGCCAAACTAGCCCATACATCTTTATTCCAAATATTTTGAAATTGTATTTAAGTTATTTGCTGAAAACCGCCAGAATTCACAAATCAAATTCAAAAAGATAAATCAGATCACAGATATTCTAGAAACAACTTCTTTTGACATCATTGAATGCAATTTAATGGTTTTCAGTGTTTCAATAAGTGCTATCTGCAACTGAGATTCAAGTGCTAGGGGGATTTTCAGTTAATTATGAATTTAATTTGAGTTTGATCCTCAAATAAAGCTATGATATGGCTTCACAAATACATTGAATATGGTACCAGAGTTAAATTAACAAAAGGCACAAGAGTGATGTTTTAGAGGAGCAGGATAAAGTTGCTATAGTGACGTTTTCTTACAAGAATGTGTTGTAAGTATTTGAGAAGAAACAAAACTGGTATAGAATCAACATAAAAGGCTAATGTAAGCATTAGCAGGTCTTCTTGCTTAGGTTTTCATTTCTTTACTGCTAATCATCCCTCGGCAGTAAGAGAGATTATTTTCGTTCTCCATGCTGTGATGTCACAGGTGGTAAGACGAAGAGGGAGAGAGCGGGACACGACAGAGCAAAACCCCAGTCACCTCATTTTATTAACACAAGTCCATTCTCTAATGCAATCTCTGCTAATTAAGGTCACCATACCCACATCATAAATATTTCTCTACACCCACACACAAGGTCTGCTAGCTGTGCCTGAGGCTTGGAAAGCTATCTCTTTCTTTCTCTCATTCTTTTTCATACTTCTATTTCAAGGCCAAAAAAAAGAGAATACATCTGTTTATAAGCTCTCTCTCTCTCTCTTTGTATCAGGTGAGGCAGATGGGAGGAAACAATTTCCAAGATGTTCAAATTCTCACATAATGACCACTAAATGACACTTACATAAACTTTAGTGATAATATAATATAACATAGCAACCGTTCAATGATAATGTGCCACAGTCACACAAGAGTACTGATCGTGACCTATGACCTTTAGGGCTTTGAGACAAACCTGAAGGGGTGCCGGTGAGTGGCAGCCTTGACATTTAATTTGAATTCCATCAAAAGGGTACATTCACACATTATTATATTTGCAGATTTTGTTTTAGATTGCTATTAAGTAAAAGGGTCAGTGTGTGAAAACTGTGTGTGTGAACCAGACAAAGCCATGACAGAAAAAAAAAAAAAAAGATTTGACTGAGGCTGTGATTTTTTTATGAATCGTTCTTTTTTCTACTTAAACATTAATCAGGAGCGTAAAAGTACCAAAATGAAATAAAAATGTGTATTTTTCAATACACAGTCTTACTGTGCATAGTTGATGTTTTTTTTTTTAAGTTTGTCTTTATAATCTTTTATCAAAAAGATAAAACTATTCTGGTATGCACTGTAAATCTAATTAAATGTAATCGATTTCCACCCCAATATTAAGTATTCCATTTCAAAACATCAGATTATTGATCTCAAGTACCAATCAAAACTCCACATTCCTCATGTATCCACACCAAACTAACAACTTTGGCTGATACTAACAGCAATGTTGAAAGCACCACAGAATTATAGTGTTTTCATTTTTTGCCTCACAAATGGCCTACAAATAGTTTAAGTGGACAGTACACTCAAAAAACAAAAAAAAATAAAAATGCTTATTATTTATTCACCGTCACTCACCCTGTTCCAAACCTTTTGCACAAAAAAAACATTTTGAAGAATGTTTCAACTGCTTTTGTCCATATAATGAAATTCAATGTGCAAAGCAACATTGGAGCCCATTAACTTTCATTTTCAAAGCATATTCTTTTGTGTTCCACAGAAAGAAAGGCATATATGTTTGGAACAACATAATGGATGAACTATCCCTTTATCTCTGGCACATTAAACCGGGGTATGAAAAAGCATTCTAACATTAAAAAATGACATGCTTCACCTTCAAAGCCCGACACACAAGTAAAACACCAGCAGTGTAACCCAAGCAGACATGATCTGCTAAAAGCAGCCGGAGTGGAGGATGATCTAAAGTCAGCAGAAGCATTAAATACATGTAAATATGAGGGAAATAATATGAGATTTTCTAGAGGAAGAGATGCACAGGTTACTGTGCGTGAAACAGAGTTTATATCACTAAACTGCTTTCCCCATTGACAGTTGACATATTTGTGTGGGATGATGTGTTTGTTTTTGTGCGCCAGTTCGTGTGTGTGTGTGTGTGTGTGTGTGTGTGTGTGATAGAGAGACAGAAAGAGAGTGAGAAAATAAACGTGTGTCAACAGGTTCACATTAATAACCCACACCTCAGCTGGCCTACAACTCTGCAAATAATTTAATAACCTTTTAAATTGGCAGTTCTTAGTGCAGTGCATTACAGGAATGTAGAACAAAAGACGCTAGAACCAGACGCTCTTGCAGTCATTTATAGTCTGCAAAGTGAATATGATAAATAGAAAGTATTATTTAAAATGTCCTGAAATCGTTAACATTAACCATTAAGTGAATGGTCAGAATGGCTCTCTGAAGAGATAAGGCCTTCCTCAAACTCACATTTACTAGCTTGTATTTCTTACAGGATGAAATCATTGTTACATTTCCCGAGATTATTGCTATACAGATAAAATATAATCCATATTCATATTCATGTCTCCGTTCTCTTGCTATTGATTGCAAGAGAAAGAGAGAGCAAAAGAGAGGGAGATTTTTTTACAGCAGTACAGACATTGCATCAGGGTTGATCTGCGACGTGTGACCTCTATTTCATCAGGCTCCTTGACCCCGGCTGGAAACAGATTAAATACATGCATTTAATGCAAGATTGCAAGAGAAAGAGAGAGCAAAAGAGAGGGAGATTTTTTTACAGCAGTACAGACATTGCATCAGGGTTGATCTGCGACGTGTGACCTCTATTTCATCAGGCTCCTTGACCCCGGCTGGAAACAGTGACTATTGATCGGCTGGAGGAACAGACATGAGCTGCTTGGCTGTTCTTTATTCTGAGATAATAACAGTGAGGGAACATTTTATTTGATGAAGTCAGGGAGCGACACTCTCTTCAGGTAGACTTTGTGTGTGTGTGATCCTAACCTAGCTATACTTTAGGGACAAATTTGTAGAGAAATGTCCCCGGAATGTAGTTAAATCTGACAAAACTCATTTTGGGGACGTCCTCAAAGGGGAAAGAGGTGGATAAATAATATATATTTTTATACACACTATCGTACAAAATTTGAGGGTTAGTTTAGTCAATATACCAAAATATTTAGAATTGATATTGATATTGATTTACATTTTACATTTCCCAAAATTGCCACAAAATGTCTGTGAAGTAAATTCGTCAGCCATTAAACAAGAACATTCCAGTAGGTCAGACAAATCATGCTACTACAAGTCCTTCAAGGCCCCACAGGTCTGTGAAAGTACCCTACCACAAAATGCACAAATACGTCACCATAAAAAAAAATATTTCAGAAAAGATTTGAAGGTAATTGCATGTGATAATATGCATATTTTAAGTCAAATTTAAGCACATTAATATTAAATATATTATGGAATCTGATATTAAAACATTTCCCGTCTATCTAAAAGCACTGAGAACTGCTCTCTCAGACTGGTTACATTATTGATACCATGCTCAAAATTGAGTGCTGAACCCAGTGTTTCAGAGTCAAAAGCAAATTGCTCCTTAAGCTCTTCTTTAGGAAAGCAAGCATCTAGATGCCACTCACAGGCTTCGACGACAAACAGAATATCTCACATTTTCGTCAACAGTGGTCTCATGATAAACTATGAAATACTGTACTGTATGTACCCTTGTATATAGCAAGGAAAATGTGTGCACTTGTGTGTGCTAAAGCCTATATAGTGACCGAAAGCAAGTGTGAGAACATGTCAGGATTTATCTGTTTTACTAGAAGTGATCCTCTAACTCTTTTGAAAAGTTCAGTTCAGTTATATGCCCTTTTGCATTTTTGACATATCAACACCAAACACCAACCTTCAGATAAGCGTCTCTTTCCCATTCAGCCATTTTACCTCAGTCACCATATTGCTCTTCGATAATGGAAATTAACTGCATCTTTGAAGTCGAGTCACGAGAGATATTAAAGAGGGGGGGGGAAATGTTAAAGTCATTCCCTGGTGTCATTCCCCCTCTGTGATCCGAATCCATGTTATCAAACACAAATTTGTCATTACAGAATTGAGCTCCACTGCATCATATTCCGTCATTAAATTGCCTTGGCTTGGCGAATTACTTCCTGAAGGCCACCTCGTGCTCTGACTGATAGTGGCCTGCGGTGCCCCAGATAAAAATCATCCGCTCGGGCTGAATGAGATGAGCAAGATGAGTGAGGGGGTGTTATGTTACTCACCTCCACCAGCTTGTTGGCGTGCTCGCGGAAGACCTGCGCATACTCCTTAACCTCTTTCTCGTTACCGCTCTTGGCCGCCTCTATCAGCACCAGCAGAGGCACGTTTGTCTCCAGGAAAGAGTCAGATATGTGGTCCATAACAGCCTTCCTTAGCTAGGAAAAAAAAAGATAGAGAGAGCAGGGATCAGTTGATGTCCTACATAAACTGTCCAGCAGTTGAACTTGTACTTGGACCTTTGACTGTAAGGCATTTACAAGCGATAAACTCCAGGTTTAACACGGTTTCTAATAGAGAGCTTAAGTGTGTTCTGGCGTTAAAAACAGCTAGATGGAGCGCAACGGAATTGAACAGAAGGTGCGCTTATAGGTGCATTAGCTCCAATACACCGTCATGTAAACACTCAATACACTTCAGATGCTTCAAGGGGGTCTGTAATACCTGGAGAAAGGCACCATTCACATCCATCTAAATGGCAGTTTTCACCTGGAAGTGTGTGTTTTGAAATTTTCCCTTTTCTTTATGGAACTACAGAATTTTTTTAACCAATTACCCGAGTTGTAAATGTCTGATGGCAAATATATCATAATTTAAAAAAAAAAGCTTTTTTTTCCCATAAAAGAATACAGGACTACTTTTGACACTTGGCAATATTTGAGCATAGCAAGAGAGCAAAAATGCAAATTCTAGAGTACATACAAAGAAAACAGCAGACAATGAAGGAATAGTAAGCAACTTGAGGTGCCTTGCTTAGGGGCAAAATGCTAAAAGCTCATGGCTTGCTAATTGCAGTGATCAAGCTAGCAACCTTTGCGTCACTAGCCCTGAGCATAAGCTAGTTTCACAACAACCTAAAATACACAGGCATGCATTTTGCCTCGAGGTAAGAGAAAAGCTTAATATATCTTAAACAGGATATCTAGCTATAGCTACATCCTGTTAAATCATTGTTATAAAATTGCCCATTTTAGTAGCAGAAACACATCATCAGCAACATTCACAGTAATACGCAGAGAAAACATTGGCGGCTATTCTAATGGGGCAGTAGGTAGAGTCCCATGACACATGTCCTCTAATGGATGATGGGAAACATTCCTAACAAGCAATAATTATCATTCAGTGAGGCATGCACATATCTTAACCAATTAAAAACCCTGTGCTAGGCCATGGTCGGCAGACAGTAATGATAAATTATGGCTGAATGCGACGCATAATCCATCACTGGCAAGAAACTTGGCCAGTCAGATCTTGAGACTTGAGATGCCCTTAAAAGGGACATGCCATAGAAAACAGTATTTTCTTTTTCTCAGTTCAAAAATCCTAATAAATCGACAAAAATGAAAGCTGTGTGGTTATGAGGTTACATTCACACATCAGTAATCATAATCTGAACTACTGAAAAAGGGATATTCATATGTTTTTGTAAAACGGCATATTTGTGCACATTTAAAAAATGCAGTAGCAAACAGTCAGATTAAAAATTTCACCAAATTATTGGTAGAAGAAAATTATGTTTCCCCTTCAGGAACTTGAGCTGCGTCGAGTCGCTTTGGGAACGCCCTTGCGTGACCGCGTTCTGAAGCACGTGTCAAATCAGTCCAATGGAGCAGCGAGACGTCACAAGCGGGGTGACGTCAGCACCAGAAAGTATAAAAGCGCATCCAGCAGAGCGCAAACCAGCTTCTGCTCTTCAGTAGCGCTCTGTGTATGTGTCTGTCTATTTACTGTTGTCTGTCCACACAAGCATATATAAAAAAAAAAAAAAAACAATCATGAAAAAGTCTATGGCGAGCGAACGGCATTACAAATGCTGTGTTTCTCCCTGCCCACGATATCTGGCGGCGGGGATACACACGATTTGTGTGTCGTTTGTTTGGGAGTGGAGCATGCACGGTCAGCTTTCGAGCAGCTGATTGTCATCACTGCGAGTTACTCTCGCTGCGTATGCTCCGCTCTCGCCTGGCTGTGTTTGATGAGAG